CTCTTCCAGGTGCTGCCGCAGATGATCTGGGAGGTGACGTACCGCTTCTTGGGGCCGGACCCGCTCTGCAGGGCAGTCAAGTACCTGCAGGTGCTGAGCATGTTCGCCTCCACCTACATGCTCATCGTGATGACGCTGGACCGCTACATGGCCGTGTGCCACCCGCTGCGCACCCTGCAGCAGCCCAGCCGCCAGGCCTACGTGATGATCGGGGCTACGTGGCTGCTCAGCTGCCTGCTCAGCCTGCCCCAGATCTTCATCTTCTCCCTGCGGGAGGTGCGCCAGGGCTCGGGGGTGCTGGACTGCTGGGCAGACTTTAGGTACCCGTGGGGAGCCCGAGCCTACATCACCTGGACCACGCTGTGCATCTTCATCCTGCCCGTCTGCATCCTCACCGTCTGCTACAGCCTCATCTGCTACGAGATCTGCAAGAACCTCAAGGGCAAGACCCAGAGCGGTGCCCCTGGCCCGGGGGGATCTGCAGCAGCCGTCCCTCCCACTCCCTGCTCCTCCGAGAAGAGCGGGCAATGTGCCGGTGGGCAGCCCTCACGGGTGAGCAGCGTGCGGACCATCTCCCGTGCCAAGATCCGCACGGTGAAGATGACTTTTGTCATCGTGGTGGCCTACGTTGCCTGCTGGGCTCCGTTTTTCAGCATGCAGATGTGGTCGGTGTGGGACGAGGATGCTCCTGATGATGGTGAGTAGTGGTGGGGATGCTGGGCTGCAGCCCAGAGCCCCAGGCTCCTGAGGCACACAGCACGCCCAGTGCATTTTTAACAAACAAGAGCTGAACGTCATTTTGTGATTTTAAAAATCACGGGGAAGGCTACAGATTTGCTCCCCCATAGTATTTATAGAACACAGTTTGCAGAGTGAAATCATTGCTTTTACCAGAAAAACCACTGAAAAGCAATGGCTTCTGACCATCACCTGTTGTGACATGTAAAAATGTGGGAATATCTTTGCCATGTGTGTCTCTTCCCTCACATGGGGATTTGCTTCAGGAGCTGCTGTGTTTGGTATGTGAGTGCAGAGAGGGTTTTAACTGTGCCTGCTGCTCCCGTCCTCTGCCGGGATGGCCTCATCGTGCTGCTGGAGCACGTAGCATCGAGTGCCCCTAAGGCTTTGCTGAGCCAGCTGCAGAAGTTTCAGAAGTGGAATTCTGATTTCATAGGTTGACTTTTTCTGGCAATTTTCTTTAGCTCTCCTAGCCTGTTCTTGGGGAGAATGAACTTTGTCCAAGATTGCAAGGCCTCTGTGTGATGCTTTGGCCAGCAGACGGGCTGAAGGTAGGTCCAAAAGCTGCTGGGTCTCACCTCCCAGCACTCTCCCTGAGGATGTGCTCCAGCACATCCCCCACCTGCAACCCTCAGCCAAGGGTAGAGCCCGGCTCTGCCTGCCACGCTGCAAGCTCTCCTACCCCAAGAAATGCCAGTCAGACATGGGAGTGGGGCAAAGGACATGTGCCCGAGCCAAAAAGAGCCCCTGAGGTCCTGCCCATAGCACACTGGGACCCTGCCCAGCCTGGCAGAGGTTTCAGCTCTCTCCCTTGCCTTCCCAGAGTCCACCAACGTGGCTTTCACCATCACCATGCTGCTGGCCAGCCTCAGCAGCTGCTGCAACCCCTGGATCTACATGTTCTTCAGCGGGCACCTGCTGCAGGACGCGGCACGCTGCCTGTCCTGCTGGGGCGGCCCCCGGCCCGGGCTGCGGAGACAGGGCTCCACCGGGAGCCTCTGCAGCAGGAAAACCACCATCCTGAGCCACAGCCACCACGCCAGCCCTGCCGGCCTGCCCCTGCGCGGGGGCAGCGCCAAAGACTTCTACCCACCCTGCGAGGAGGTGGTGACCGAGTCGGGCACGCTCTAGGCTGCGGCGGTGGCCGGTGCCCAGGCATAGCCCTCCACTGAGGACAACTGCCACCAGATGTGACACCACCAACACTGTCACTGCAGAGGCGTGCCTCTCCCTGCCTGGTAGCATCTCATTTTGCAGAAAGGTGTGTGCTGAACCCAGAAGGCATCACGGTCCATCTTGCCCTTGTGTGCGCGCTGCATCTGCTGGGAGCATCGGAGGAGACGGACAGAGCCCCATCAGCCGTCGCCTGACCGCGTCGCCTTCCCTCGTAGGTTAGGAAGCCTCTCGCTGCCCGGCTGCTCTCCTCCAGGAACACCTCACAGCCCAGGTATCCGCCAGGGATGCGGCACCTGGAGGGACTGGAGCTCTGGGTGTTCAACAGCCGCCAGCAAAGCAGCCTGAGCACAGCAGGAGGCAACATGGGTACATCTGCTCAGAGCTCCCTGCGAGCAAAGTTACTCATCGCCCGTCCTCAGGGCTTTGCTGGCACAGCGGACACGGCTTTCCCACGCCCTGGGGCACAGCACAATCTCCCCCCTCCCCATACCTAGCATTGCCCTCTGCAGACAGGCACCTCTGGAGCCAGACCCCCTGCCCACCTCCCCGGGGACAGGGACGGGGCCGGAGCGAAAGCCACTGGGCAGAAATGTCCTCTCCTGTTGCGCACAGCCATCCTCCTACCGCCCAGCGGCATCGCACCGCGCTGGTGCGAGCGCCCGAAATGCAGCGCTGACACCACCGAAGAGCTGCTCGGAGCAGCCCTGGCCCAGCTCCAGCTCGCCCAGGCAGGTCCCGCATCCCTCCCTGCCCCGGCACTTCCCACCAGCTTCACTCGTGTTCCCCCCCCCCGCGCTGCACAGGGCTGCCCCACGCTGCTCAACAGCTGCGGCGCTCGAGTCACCGCTGGCTTTCTTTTGTCTTATTTAGCAGAGATCAGAGGGCCAAAAACCACCCAGGGCTTCAGGGAACTCGGGAGCACAGAGGAGGGGCGGCCGGCAGCCGGGAAGGAGCCACGGCCTTGCAGCCCCAGCCTGGCCCCTGCCCTTCTCCCTGCGCGCTGTGGGTCTCCCCGAAGCTGTTTCGTTTAAGAAGAAAGCGGGAGTGGGGCAGGCAAGAGCATCCCTCTGCTCTGGGAGGCGAGCTCCAAAGCTACTGGTGCCCCCATCAGTACAAGTGCCCAACGAGCACCGAATGTACCGAATCCCCTGCGAGCAACGTGCATTATTTCCTCTGTTATCACAGGCTAAATCTGTAAAAATAAGACATTAGAGTAAGGGTTTGTTGTTTTTTTTTTTTTTTTTTAAATCTGAAGTTATTTTCACTTTTTAGTCACCAAGCATTTGAATCAGTTTTTCCAGGAACTCCCACCGGCTGGTTTTGGCCTCACCTCCCGTTCCACACACACACCTCTCCTGGCCTTTAGCGATGTTTCCCGGAGATTGTTTGGGGTTTTGAACATTTTCCTTCATGTGCCCTTCAAGTTGGGCCAGATCTGCACAACAAGGTCACAAACCCAGGAGTGCCTGACCCGCCCCCCCCGGGATCAATACCGAATCAATCGTCTCACAACCTTTCATTAAAGCACATCGCTGCCGAGCCGATTCGAAAAGCACTTGGGGCCGCTCCATCCCTGACAGAGGGGAGCTGTGCTGGGAAGTAGCAGCTCCATCCCCCTAACAGAGCTCCCAGCTATTGTACCGCTCCCCTTCCCCAGCACTTTGGAAGTTGTTGGGTTTGGTGGTTTGTTTTTTGGGGTTTTTTTTGAAAAATCGTTAGCAACAAAACGCAGCGTGATGGGAAGGAAGCTGCTCCGTTCGTAGGAGCCATTTACCGCAGCGGAGGGAGGACGCGAGCCCCAGCCACGGGCAGGGCTGGCCGGGCACTGCCGCTCCTTGAC